TTGGGGCAAAAAATCGCAATTAGATTATTTTCCATAATCGTTCAGCCCTAATCTTAATCCATGAATCGATTATAAAAACCCACCCCTACTCTCAATCCAGAAACGCAACACAATAATGTAGTGGGATACAGAGAAACACCACTAGATGGCACTGAAACCATCATTTCATGGATCCACACCTGACTCTAACATTATGCTGTGATACATCTTCTGACTCTTACTTACTTAAATCTTCTTAAAGCTACACATTTAAGCCTACAGAAGTTCTTTTCTTCCTTTAAACTTGACGGTTTTGAAAATCCCCGTGTATGATCATTTACCTTGTCTATGGAAGCCTTTAGGAAGTGATCCAGCAGGTGGCGTGCTTCAGACAAGGAGCATGAACTGATCACCACTGAGGTGTCCACTGAGTCCAGCTCATCCTGCAGGAAAACACACAAACATGAATGTTACTAAAGGCCTGACTCTCCTCATTGCTGGCATGCAGGTCTAAATACCTGTGCATGGGTTTGCGTCTTCATACCTTGGTCTCCTCTATCTGTACAATGGTGGCCTGGCAGTCAGACAGGCTGTCGTTGATGTAGTCTATATTGGCGTTCAGCACCTCAATATCCTCGTTAATTTCCTGAAGGAGGCGGTCCTCAGCTTCTGGCCCCTCCCCGTCCGCCATCAGCACCTCTCTCTTATGTGAGAGCGCTTCCTGTTGGGCCGTCAGCTCTTCTCGCTTCTGACTCAGCAAAAGCACAAATCACCACACGGCAAAAAAAAATATTAAAAATTAAAATTCATAGTTATATTTAACATCTACAGAAGTCATTTCTACATTTGGAATCTTAATTTTCTCTGTTTATCCGAGGCACAAACTGAACAGACGCATTCTGACGCATCTAAACTCGGAGAAAAACCTGACAGAGTTTTAAATTCGATGATTCAAAGACAGCAGCTGCAAAAAGCTGCGTGCCAAGCCGTATCTGTGAAAAAGGCCGCCCTCCCTCCCACATTTTTACATTTCTTCATCTGCGAGGGAAAGGAGGAAGGAAGCGCCTCACACTCAGTTTCAGTTGTTAACCGACTACAGAAGTCAACGTCAAAAAAGTTGCTGATGCAACCCCTGATGCTCAACTGCTCTCAACCCTTCAATAACCACAGCGATGTGCTGTACGTTTGAGAATTTATAATCCAAAACCTTAAGTCAGTCTCGTGGTAGAAAGAAACTACATCCATCAAACCACGCGTAACCCCGGTGACAACATTTTAGCTCTAGCGTGCCATTCCTACCTTGATAAGGCGATCCATGTCGGCTTCCATGTTTGCGATGGTCATTCTCTGCATGACGATGTCCGTGATTCGACGCTCGAGAGCTTGCCACTTCTGACGTGCAGACTTTGAAATGCTGCTGGTTCTGCCTGCAGCTCCACTGTTGCCCAGGCCGGCTGGCTTACGCGGCAACTTCTTTCTACTGCTGGTGATGGACCAAAAACAGGTGGCAAATACTGGATAAATAAAATGTCATCGACTCACAATAAGCAGCAATAAAGTTGTGTCATGTATTATATTAAAATCTGTATTGACTGATCTGTCTGCTTCCCCAGGTGTTGGGTTGCTAGTCTAATCATTACATCACTTCCTGACACTATAAAACTCAATCTTTCTGCCCGCCTTCTTTAAACCGATCGCCCTCCGCTCTGCACCGCTCATCTTTCAGACTCCTCTGTGCGACCCACCTCCGCCCTATCTCCGCCTCATGCAAGTGTCTTCATCCAAGCCTCCATCTCATCTTTATCACCACCACCAGCGTCTGGACTCTGGGTGGTGCTACCTGAGCTTTTTTTTTTAAATTATAATTTGATTCAGCTCAGTCCAAGGACAGTACCATAGCATCTCGTCGTCTTACCCGATGACGCGTGTTCCGTCCATGCTGCCTTCGCTCTCTCCCAGATATCCGTACACGCTGTTCTTGTTGTTCCACTGCCGCACCAGACCGCTTACGGTCCTCGCAGTCTCGGGCTCAGAGCTGCTCGCCGTGGTGCTCGCTGATAACTCAGCTCCAGAGTCCGTAACCGGGGGAGTCTGGTTCCAGCGGGCCACTCGTCCAGCCACTCGATCTGACATTGGTTTGGCCAGGCGCCGCAGGGCGGTCACCTCCTGAGTCTTCCTGCGCAGCACCAGCTCCTGCTGCCGCTTCTGAGACTCCAGCGCACGAATCTGGTACTGATGGGGGAAAAAACACAACCTTTTTTATAATATTCATCACTTTTTAAAAAGAAAATGCTTTTCAGTTGCCTTTGAGATCCCTGAGCTGAATGGGATTACTCGTCACACAACAGGTTTGCAAAGTGTTGATCATGAAGGGATTTTAAGACTTAAGATGAAAATCGAAATAAAAGGATTATGAATGCTGCCCACGGTATGACAGCGCAAAGGCTTTTCATGCTCATTAACGAGCCCTCTTCTCCAGGGAAGCCAAAAAAAGATGGAAGTTAATGCTTGCAGAGGATGCACTAATCTTAAAAACACAGAATAATACCAGAAGTACGTGTTCAGTATTTACATAATCCAGCACTCAAGTTTTCAGTGTGCCAGCCTACAGATGGGGCTCTGACTCTACATTTACATCCATATGCATTGTGCATACAGATTCACCTACATTTAATTCTTTGGATACAGCAGATAACACTTAAAGTTCTGCCATGATGACAGTGATAGCAACATAGTTTAACCTCGTTTTTATAGATGTTATATCTGTGCTTGTGCTAAATCTCCCAATAAATCCCAAATAATTCTGCTGCTAACCTGAAAAATCACATATGCAATGCTAAATATAAAACGCACGCACAAGAGGTCATATGCTGCTAACCTCTTGCCGGCGCTGCTCCTTCTTTAGCTGGGCTATCTCACGGTTTCTCTTCGCCTCTACCATCCTCCTCCTCTGCTGCTCCTCCTTCATCTGCTTCATCAGCGCCACCTGAAAATGGCAGAAAACACTGGTGATCGCACAGCATCCTTCTCTTCTTTCCTCCACACAGACTTCCATCAGCCCCTTCTTACCTTGGCCTTCTTCATCTCGTTGACCTCGCCCTGGAGCTTCTTCAGCTCCCGTTCGTACCTCCCCTGGTTCTTGAGGAGGCGTGCGTGCTCCTTCTGTGCCGTCTGTAGCTTAAGCAGGTCGCGATTCATCTCCTTGAGGCGTTTTTCGTACTCCTGCTTGATCCGGTTGGCCTTCTCCTCCGTGTAGTTCTCCATGGTCACTGCACAACCGTGTAACAACGTTAACGAGCCGTAGCCGACACCTCGCGTGACACTTTGCACTCACGGAGCAACTTAACTAAACTCACTGAGGTTCTGTAGCACGCGGTCTCTCTCCAGCTGCGTGTCTCTGATCTTGTTTTGCAGCAGGATGAGCTTCTCCTCGTACTGCAGCTTTAGCATCAGCAGCCTCCGCTGGCTGTTCTCCAGCTCATCTATCAGCTTCTGCTTGATCTCAATCTCGCAGGTCAGGTCTGCCAGGTCCGCCTGGAAGTTGGCTGCAGGTTGAGGAGTTTTGAGGTTGTAAACCAAATTGCACCATTTGTGTGTGTGTTTCATATACAACTGTATATTAAGAAATATGTAAAAAAAAATTCCATCTAGATGCAAATTCATTTCTGCTCTTTTTACACTAAAAACATCTTTATCTTTACTGTAAATCATCTCTCACAGCAGATGATGTCCTGACAGAAAGAACAGCTGATAAACAGGGACAAAGAGTGAAAACAGTGGTGTCATTTCGTAACAGCAGCTGTCAGGACCACACCTTTCTCATCCGAGTCTGAGTCCGAATCCACCAGGCTCTCATCACTGTCAAAGTCATCCTCTTCCTCCCTACCCTCCTCTTCGTCCTCCCCCTCCTCGTCATCGCAGCCACTCTCCTCCTGCAGTGGAGACATGATGTCCTGCGCACGCGGAGAAACGCGCAAACGATCAGACTCGTTACGGTCACTTTAAAGCTCGCGAGTGCCGACTCGTGTGGGTCTTACCTCGGTGTAATTCTCATCTGAATCGATCTCTCCGTTCTGCCCGTTCTCCCCGCCCTGCCCGTTCTCGCCGTTCTCCTGAGTGTGCAGCTTTACTCGTTTCTTCAGACCTTTCTCCAACTCTGGGCTGAAGGAGAAGAGCACGCGTGTCAAGCCAGGCACTGTCAGGCATGGGATTCTCCACAAAAATCACTTCACCTTCAGCGCTATACCAGATGGTTTTTGCCGCGCAGAACCACTCCCCTGAGTGTAACTAAGATCGTGCACACTCTGACATCCCTTATTGTGCTCTGGGAGTCTTGCCAGTAATATGCTTACTGCAAAATCAACCATCAAAAGTCATTAAGCAAACTCTTCTTCACCTTGTCTACCATCATTGCCCCTTTAGCTCTTGAGTTTTAGTGCCAGTTTTATTATCTCCTTTGCTCCCTCTTCTACAAACTTATCAGCCATCCCAGCTCTAAATTCCCATCTTCCTCCATTTCTCTGCCATTAGGCCTCAATTAGCCTGTTAGGCTGTGTACTCTTCTCTCTCGTGACCCAGTAGCCGACTGACTAAGACCTTTCTGTGTCCAAGCCAGCGTTACAGCTCAGCATTGGCAGCATACCAACTCTTTTCAGAAGCTGGCAGCCCGCAAGTCCTAATTTACTTGTGATGTGGGGCTTAAAGAGAAAAGTAATGAGGAAGGGAGAAAATATATGGTCAGGAAATATTTCACAACCATCACCTTCCCTTTAAACCAGCTTTTAAAATCTGAAGAGGTTCATATGAGGCGTAAATTGAGCCATTAGATATTATATTTGCATAAAACAATGTTTGGAGGTCTACATGTCCTCTGCTCCTCACCTCATCCTCCTCTGCCTCCTCTCTTTCTTCTTCAGTCTCTCGATATCCAGCTTGGCCCGGCGTAGCACGTCCGTCATCTCCGCCTCCATAGACATGGGAGCAGGCGAAGAACCCGGGGGGTGACCGGGGGCGGGGCTGAGAGTGGAGGTGGGGAACGGGGAACGGGAGGAGAGCCGGCCCACTTGTCGCCGTAACGACTCGTTCATGGACTCGCTCTCGAGAAGTTTGGTTCTGGCAAAGGTGGAAGAGAGGGACAGAAAGAGGCGACAGAGGTTTCATTCATGAATTTTATTACTACAGCAATAAGAAATACAGAAGGGAAAACTAAATAGATAATCACACATAAGTGTCCCACAATAAACCCCTTAATTAGTACACTTTTCCCTGCTGTGGGAAGTCAAAAAGCTGTGAAAAACAGTTAAAATAAATATTGATGTCACACGTATATGTAGTATGTAATTTGACTATCGCTCTCATATTAAGCTCCAAACTGTAGTGACACACTTGCAGCGTACCGTCGCTGACTTTAATAGACCAGCCCAGCGGGCGCTCACAGCTTGCAGAGAGAAGAGGAGAAACAACTGAACTGAAGCTGAACTGCACCACACTGAATGACTCAGCCGAACTAAGTGGGTTTCTGTAAGAAGTGGGTCCCTCCAGGTGTGTAAGAACGTGATGCAGCTACAGAAAAGTCTAACTGTAGGCACCTTACTATAGTCAGCTCAAAGCCTGTGGAGAAGCTGAGGCTGCGGTTCAGTTCACAAAAGCTGCTCATGGAAAAGATTTAGTTCCTTTATATTTAATCAAAGAGGCATCTTCAAAGAATCTAGATGGATAAACAGAACTACAGGAAAGACACAATTGTGATTTGGGGATAAGCAGCTACTTAAAATATCACAGTTATCACAGTAAATACCAATCGCTGTTAGTCTGTTACTGGTTTGAGTGACCACATAACGATACTCAGGCTCTTACCTGAGTTCTTCAACCTCTCGGATATAGTTCTGTATTAGAGTCCCGATCTCCTCGTTGCCCTCGCCTGGATGATGAAAAGTAAAAACGCACTCAGATCACGGAAAATGCAGTTAATTTTAAAAAAACAAACAAACATCGTCATTGCAGAGGCAGAGCTCGTCCGATTAAGGATCTCTCACGTACTTGACTTGGCGAGCAGAGTGCTGACCTCATTGGCCAGCAGATGCGTTACGCGTGAGTTGAGGTGGTCGATGGTCTCCTGCATTGCTTTCACCCTGAGACGCAGGGTGTCATTTTCTCTCTGCAACATGGTGTTCTCCTGGTACAGGTCACTGTAGCCCTCTGACCCTTCCTCACAGGCTACACGCTTCCCCTGCACAGAGCAGACGGTTGGCACGGTCAACAAATGCTTTGGCGTCCAAGGGTCAAAGGGCAGACGTGAAAAAAAACAAACTCAACCTAAATTTACGCTCATACAAATACGCCACGCTGAACCAAACAGAGTGCTGTTATTTACAATGACCGTGGCTCTACAGCGATGTATTGTTGCGTTTTCAGTGATTAACGCTGAAAAAATCCTGTTGTTTCCAACAGAGAGTCACTGTTAACCGCTGCTCGCAGCCATTAACTCCACTTCATTACTTCCACACTCAAGTCACATCGCATCCCTTATTACCACATCGAGGTCAGCTTGCCATCCCTCAGCACAGTCACTTCCCTGTAAGTGTGGTAACCCTTTTAGTCACGTAATAACGCAACAACAGAGCTAAACGATCACTTGTTTCTTACGGCCCCAGAGGTCAAAACTGATGAAAGTGGCCCGTCTTTCTCTCCCCATTTCTCCTCACAGTTCTCATATTATCCTTCGTGGAGTTTACACTCAAGCTGAAACATCAATTTGTCCTTACATTACACTGTAAAATGCTGACAAGTGATGTGTGTGTTCCAGTAATGATCTTTAATTTGATATATCTGCAGCAAGCACGGCCTCTCCTTTTATTACTTAGCGTCTGATATCATTCTCCCTTACTCCATTACTCTGTCTTCTTCTGCTTACACGCTATTCTCAGTTTCATCCATCTTTGCCCCGCACATACCCCCTCACTAACTACATCACCAGCACGCAGCTACATCCTATTGCTCTTCCTCTGGGCTCATCCCGCCCCCCCCCATCGCTCACCGCCTTGTACTCCATCAGCTCCATCTGAAGTCGGGCTATCTCGGCGCGCAGGGCGCTGATCTGCTGGCTCGTCTTGTCTTGGTTCACCATCACCTTGTTCTTGATGTTTCGGGCGCGATTGGCGTACTTCAGCGTGTTCAGCGTCTCCATGAAGTCCCGGTCTGACGGGCTGACGCAGGCGATCATGACCGTACGACTGAGGGAAAAAGAAAACACGGAGGCCGTCGGTAAATGTGCATACGATTTGGTTGTCATGGTTGTTACACGTTGTTGTGGAAATAACCTGATTAAGTAACTGACCAATCACTTCAGCTCCAAAAAAACCTCCCTTTTGTGTCACCAAAATGTCGATTCTTCTGAATATTACATCTTTTTCTCACAAATACAACTTCTTCATATGTGTGTGTCTGTATGTGCTTATACCTGTTCCCTCCCAGCGAGTCCTGAAGCAGTCGGGTAAGTTTGGAGTCTCGGTATGGGACGTGTCCGCCCTTCTTGGTCTGATCGCCTAAAGCACTGATCACATTTCCCAGAGCCAGCTAGCAGAGGTGCAAAGACACACAAGAAGAAGATGTGATCTAAGCATGCACAGTTATTTCTTTTGTATACAGATTTACAATCTTACACTGGCGATCCCTGCCTGACTTACAAGTCCGCAATTAATAGAGATTCCCTCGCGGGCTCTGTCTCCTGTAGCGCCTGTGCGTTTCAGCCTCTCGGAGCCAGCCAGGTCCACGAAGTGAAACTTGGCCATCAGTGTCTCATACTCTGGCTGGGAGATCGGGCCAGACTCCACACCACCGTTCAGCTCTCCATTCTGCCCTCCTCCACCGTTCTGCTAAGAAACCAACAAACACAGGGAAGCAGGTTGCTGAGTTACTGTTTTTTCCTTTAAACTAGCAATCATTTAATCACTCTGAACGATGCTGAATTATTTATGTTTCACTTCCACTCTCTCTGCGCGTCATCATATGTGACTTTTCTTTTTACTCTTCCTAAAAGTCACACGTTTCCTAATAGCTTATCGTTTTCCGTCTCCTCCGGCTAACAGCTGACAGGTTTTCATATAACCTGATGATGGCAAAGTTGTAATAACTCTAAATACCTCTTTTGTCTCTCTCCTTCTTTCCACCACCCATTGCAAACTCACCATTTGCTGCTGACAGACTCGCATCTGACAGAGGTGGATGGTGAAGATGGCGTGCGAGCGGGAGCTCTGGGCGTTCATCTGAGTGCTGGCAGTGGTGCGGGACAGAGCGCCGAGTTTCAGGCACTGAAGCAGCTGCAGCACACACACACACAAACACATTATACATGACATTTGGTTACTTTTATTGGAAAGTAAGAAACCTCCTGACTTACGCATGCAGACTGAGTTTCTGTTTAAGTACCCATGAGTATGATCACGTATTGTTTTAGGAAGACGCTCTCAGAGTTCAGCATTTCCCACAGAGATGTTCTTGTCATCACCGCTCGCTTAAGCGCTAGCATTTCATTAACCTTTACTTTTCCTTTCCCTGCCCTCTCAGCTGCCCTCCCCTCACTCTTTATCATAACCTGCCTCCATCCTGTCTTCCTCTTCTTTTTTTCTGTTTTCTTCTTCTCTCCCACAGGAGCACCCTCCCGTCTCTCAGCTGTCTGATTTTAATGCAGATAAACGACTCCAAATTCAGCCTTTCTTCCTCTTTCTCTCTGCGTCTTTAACACTTGCTGACATCATTCTTTCTCTTTCTCACCTTTAGAAAAAAACTGAGTAACCACAACCACAACCGCCTTGTCCAAGTCAGTGTTTCAGTGTAGCTCTTCCCCTAAACAAACACCTTTTTTCTGTGTATCTTGTGACCAAAGATTCCTCGTGTCCTAAAGGGCCTTTCGTATCCTTCTTCCTCCTCACTGTCAGTGCTCTGCGGTTTCCTTTCTCGTCAGCTGTGACACATTTCTCATATGTGACCGTAAACAAGCCAGCCTCTCAAGAAGGAAGCTAAACTTCATACATAAATAGCCCCACGGGTTTAAAAATTGACGTCGGTCGGTGCAGCAAAATAGAGCCCAGTCTCCGCTGTTATCTCTGACCTCTTTGTTGTTTATGAAGACGGACCACCAGATGGTTCTTGGCAGTTCACACTCCCATGCTTCCCCTCACCCCAGTCAGAGCTAATTCGTGTCTTCACAGTGAATACTTTCCGATGTAATATCGCTCGTCACTGTACAGTCATGGGAGACTTGTCTTCTGGACTTTCTGGTTCATTTAAAGTTGTTATATCAACCACCGAAGTGTAAAAAGTTGTTATTTTGTTCAAGATTTTGCACGATAATCTGAACATTTTTAAAATATACACTTAATGAAGGAATTATTAAAAGGTTTAATCACTGTTGGTAAATACTGATACTCAGATAGATGCTGATCTGTAAGGGGATCCGGCTGCTATGCTGTGCTGTGGGAGGTATTATGCTGGGATGGTTTCGGTCTACTTATAGCCTTATGCTCACATATTTTGTTTCTCATTTCTGATCTGAGATGTAGATGTTGGCAAAAATGTGATAACGTCACCAATCACATCTCTAGCTACACTCACAGACCCACCTCGTCCTCTGAGTGCACCAATCTGGAAGTGACTCCCGTGGTGTAGATGCTGCCACTGGCGTCCTCGTGGATCTTTATGGCGGACTTCCTACCGCGACTCTCTGGATCTCTGGTTCCATCGAACAAGTCCAAGATCTCTTCATTGTACAGCTGCAAGGAGCAGAACAAGCACACATTAAGGCCTATCGCACATCGTACAATTCGTACACGCTCAGTGCAAGGATGAGCCCCTCTGCTGAAAATGATTGCGCGCCTCTTAAAACTGAACTATTTCCGTTCTGTTAAACCGATTTCTAGTTTCGTATTTCCACACAGCTCTGCAGCCACAGAGGTCAACGTGATGACAGCTCAGAAACCTTTGAGGACAAGGGTCAAAGAGGTCAGCTGAAAGCTCAGCTGCTCCCACCTAGTGCTAAACACACACACACATACACACTCGCCCATCTGTTAACCATCAACGAAGATAACCTTTTGACCTGAAAGCCCACAGAAAAGACACTAATAGCGAGAAGCAGGAGCGCAGACAAAAGAAGGAAAAGAAAAATGGACAGAAAACGATTTTATTTTGAAATTTGAATTTCTATTACATTGTAATTTATTATTACGCTGTTCAGTTCTCTCTCTCCCCCACACATACACAAACACACACATGCAGTAGTAATGTCCCCTAAATAAAACCCAAACATTTGCCTGCCAGAAGCCCCCAGAGGAAATAATTACTCGTATATTATCTAATTTCTCCTACGCAAGCGTCCCTCCTTCCTCCCATTCCTTGCACTTATCCATCTTCTCCTGCACAGTGATGAGGAATAATGTCAGAGGTAATGGACAGCATTAATCAGGACCCACAATGCACGAGCAGACATTCACGCTCATCTGTCTTCAGGTTGTCACTTCCTGTTTACAGAAGCGGGTCTGATCTTGTCGTCTCCCCCATTTTGTCCCATCTGGTTGGAGTTAATATGGACCAGCATACACAAAAACGCACACGCGCACTTAGGAATATCAATACAGCATTGTATGAGTGTCAAATAGAGTAACAATGTGAGCGCTGCCTACCTCCAGGAACTGGGCGCTGACTTTAAAGTCCGGTGGCTGGGCGCCGGCCTCCTGGGCGCGCATCCTCCTGGCCTGGATTCCCTCAAACAGCTGATGAACAGCCCGCGGGATTATGCCCTGCTCCTGTGGGCTCAGGCTTACATCGAAACCCGTCCCCATGGTGTACGTCTTCCCTGAGCCCGTCTGTAAAATGATTCACCAGTGATTTATCACATTCCTTGTTTATCTACAGAAACAAGGTTTCACACACATTCACTGTAGTTAATTAAAATCAGTAAACCGTGAGTCAATGTGCATGGCTATGCTCGCTGCACGAGTGTGTGTACAGACATGTGCACGTTTCTGACTTGAAAGACCCTTTAATTCATGCATCTCATGTCTGTCCAGGACTTTAATTATATGTGAAGGGTAACAGAGCCCACGCATGAACTGCAACATGTCTTTCTCTGTCTTTTTGTAAGTACTAGACGCACAGACACATAAAGGTGGCCAGCCTCGTCCTTAGTTTGGAATCTCACAAAACAAAATAATATTTTATGTAACACATCAAAAAAGGACAAATGTAAAGCTTATGTCTGTCTTGCCCACATGTACACTTTATTTTACAGGTTGGTCAGGTATATAAAAGCCATTAAGTGATGATTTATTTATTTTTTTGTGCATCCGTGATCAGTTCACTAGGATTCAGTTGCCTCGCTCTTATTTTGAAAGCTCCGACACTACCCTGGCCCTTCCCTCAGGTTTTCCCTGAGTGACATGAGGCCAGGTTGCCGGCTGCTGGAGCAGTCCTCAGTATCGTTCAGCTGCTTCTCAGAAGAGGATCTCGTCCTGAGGTTGGACGAACATCTTTGGTTATGCAAACCAAAGAACCTGGAACAGGGATAGCAAACTGGGCAAGGTAGCGCTACGTCAAGGTAAAGGAGGATGCAGAGAAAATCGGCGACTACCATGGTGTCGGACTTTGAAACCTACCGCTCATTACTTACACATTTTGCCTGCTACATTTACTTTGCAGTTCGACCGATGTTTCCCTAAAAATGCCCAATGTCTGAATAAAATCCTTAATGGGAAAACTAATAGTTTGTTTGATTTTACTTTTTCATATTTAAATAAAATAGTGACTAAATTACAAAATAAGAGGTAAATAAGAAAGACCTTCAAACTCTCTGTGAATTATTCATTTAAAAAACACCTCTAATTTAATTGTACATTTCTGAGCTTCTCCTGCTTCGGGTCTTACTGAATGGAAGACTCGATAGTCTTATTCAGTCTCAGTGTAATATTTCAGAAGCATCACAACATCTTGATGTACGAGTTATCTTTTATTACAGTCTTCTAACGGCATTCTGCGGCCGTGGCAGAGAGATAACTCATCTCTATAAATATTCTAGTCTCCCTCTTTGTCAGACAGCATCCAGACTGCTGTCATGCTGCCTGCACTGCTGTTTGACCCCTTTGTGAAGGAAAATAAAGCTCATAAAGACAACCTGGCTGCGTGCACCTCAGTTTATTTCAGATTTCCTTAACGGAATCCAAGCACCCGTGTCATACCTGACCGTAAGCGAACACGGTGGCGTTGTAGCCCTCGAAGCAGCCCTCGATGAGCTTGTACACGCAGTTCTGGTAGATGTGGGGCTGCTCTGAGTCAATGTCGAACACAAAGTCATAGGTGAAGGCCTTGTCCTTTCCCAGGAGGACTTGAGGCTCTCCGGGTGTGACCAACGTGCACACGTGGCAGCCTTCTATCTTCTCTTTGGCCATCTGAGGGCGAATCCTGAGAGACGACAACAGAAAGGCAAAGAGAGAAATCGTTAGTACATTTATGAAACTGTTACATCGATTTAAAAAAGGAAAATGACGGCTGTCAGGCAACTCAGCAAGACAGGCCGCTGATTGTTGCAGAGCCTGAATGATTTTAATGCTTTAATGCATCGTGCAGATAAAGCATGAGATTCTGATCCCACACGGTGCACTGGAAACAAAGAACAGTGAGAATATGAGAGCGCACAAAGTGGGCATAAAGTGAACTGTTCTAAGAGCAGGACCACTGATGTTGGCACATCATACAAGCTCTTAAAGCCATCACCACAGTGGCTGTTAATCCTTCATCTAAAGACTCTGCTGGGTTTTCCTTCCTGACAGGTAGTTCACTGCAGCTAATTGCTTTTACCTGAGATCCCAGCTTCAAAATAATCCATGATTAGATGAGCCTGAAAGGCCGCAGCTCCAGAACATCTTACAAACTCGCTGACAGCTCGAGGGCCGAGTATTTAAGTTTAGGAACATTTTCACTTCCTTGCCGGCAGAAGAGCAGAAACCCAGACAAGCGAGACCGCTGTTTAATTAAGATGGACCCTTTAAGGACGTGACAGTGCTGCAGTGCTGATTAATCGTGAGAAAACACCACACAGAAATGTTGCTCTTGCATAATGCAAGTACATAAAACAGATGATTTTCCAGGCGCCCTGTTAATCTTGTGCTTTCAGAGGTACAATATGGACACAGTAGGGAGGTAATCACTTTAAGCTGCGCAAAAAGCCATGAGGCAGCAGTATCAGAGCAGTAGGTCCACCTCTTCACATGCTAAGTCCCCCCACCCGACTCAGTCTTTAGGGGATGCAAATCAACTCCCCCACACACCAAGACTGCACAAGAGACTCCCTATGGGATGAGCAACAAAGACACACACATAATGTATAAAGCGAGAGAAGTCCCCAACCACATCCAGCTGCGGCGGGATGCTCCGCAAACCACACACACACACACACACACACACTAAGACTCTGGAAACAAGTGTTGTACACATGCAGTTCAAAAACAACCTTACTGTACTATCTTCATTTCACACATTGCTCTCAAGCGAGCACCCCACCCACCGCTAACACACAGAGTTACACTTCTGCGCACACAGGGGCAGCTTTCTGGCCATCTTTCAGGCCTCGAAGCCCCGCAGAGAGACTTCCAGGAAGAAATGAAGGCTATTAGAAGAAGTCCACAGCAGCACACGTTAGCCTAGATAACCTTATGACAAAGAGAGCGACTCTGAAAGCAGCTTGCAGACAGGCGAGCTCCTTTTATGACTGGATGTGACCTTGACCCGAAGGTTAATGTATCTAAAACCGCAGATCTCGCAATGAACGCTGCTTAAAGCAATTATTAAGATGAAGTGGAGCCCACTCGGTCCCCACGATGGATTTCACGGCAACACAACGCGCGTGTGAGCTGCAGCTGTGTCATGAAAAGAGAAGAAAAGCTTTCTTTTTGCTTCTTTACATTCATTTCATCCAGTCTGTGTGCACTGCCTTAATATTAGAAGTGAAAAGAAAGAAGGACATTTAAGTTAATTAACCCCACCATCGTTACAGCACATATTCATAACTGCATAACTGAGTTTCTACTTCT